TCAGAGCTTCCAAAATGCTTCAATCGGAATCAATCATTGTTCAGTCATTCGTCGTTTGCCTAGAGACCAGCATCAATCGGACTGTGCTTTCGTCACAAGACACAGAGATCAAGTTTCGACATCCACCCCAACACATGAGTACGGTTCAGTCATTCTCAGTCCAGGAGCCTGTCCTGACCAAAGTCTCAATAAGGTTGCTTCTAAAGATGCCTTTTAGTAGCGGTATATCAGTGCAAACGGCTTTAAACCACCATTTCACCCAGACCTGTTTTGAATATCCAAAAAATGAATTTTGCCGAGCTTGGAAGTGAGCGGGTACTGGCCTCTTTGTGCTGGAGCTGCTGCAAGCTGATGGAACGAAAAGCAGGCCGTGAGTAGTTTTTTCTTCGAATTTCGTATCTCGTTTTTTTTTTGAATTTTTACTTTGTTTTCACTCACGTGGCACGCCAGTCAGGCTGAGGGAAAAGACAAAAAGACGAGGTGTATGGGCATAGATTTGAATAGATCCATGGCTCGGGGGGGGGGGGGGGGGGGGGGGGGGGGGGGTTGATAGCTTAGGGTGCAATTGCAGTCAGGTGCATTCTGGAAAGTGCTAGTGTGAGTATGCCCTAAGTACGGTCAGATCCACAATGGTGACCTCATCCTTCTTTGCCATACAGTGTACGTTTATAGAGTCCGTGGACAGATTCATAGGCTTCTTATTGTATGTAAAAAGCAAACGCAAAAAAATAATAAAAAACTAACCATTTCTTGTCCTTCCCTCCCGCCTATCACGGCAGGAGAGCGCCTGACATCACTGAGGGGACGTTTTATCCCCGTAAGTGGCGGGCTTAGGGCATGACCCACACAAACAATTTCCTATTCTATCAGCCCGTTTACAGATGAATGTGACCGTGACCGCAATCACATCCATAACATAGTAGGAGAACTGCCAGACTGAGTGTGAGTATTCTTGTTGGCTTTTTTTTTTTTTNTTTTTTTTTTTTTTTTTTTTTTTTTTTTTTTTTTTTTTTGTACTCTCGTTGTCTTTTATTTGCCATTTCGACACACTTGTCCCCCACCGACCAAGTGGCTGTGGTTGGCCTTGTTGGTTTCTTTTCGTGAGATCTTCTTGTTGTCTTGTCTTTTTTTTCCCCTTCTACAAGACTGTATTTGGTGTTTTCACATCTCGCCCCCGCCCATCCATTGCACCTCGTGGACTGGCGACTCTAGTTTTTAGGCCCACCAGTCTTTTGCCCCAGAGCTCTACCAGCCCTCTGCGGAACAGCCCAGGCCCGTTTGCAGGTTACTGCAATCGATGAACAGTACACGACAGTGAACTGGTGGTTTAAACGAGGAAATCAGTCAATCTTCGTTGTTCTCACCAATTTTGCAGCAAATACCGTCTATGACCTGAGGCTCTACGTAAAGAAGGGTGAAGAAACCCAATAACTCTTTGACTTGGTCTGGATCTCAACAACAAAGTATCTTGAAGAGATAGAGAGGGGGCTTGATGAGAGTGGTGCCAAACTGATCCGCAACTTCGGACCAAAGCTCTACACCGACTACCCCAAGCCTCCAGTTCCCTTCATTCCCACAAATGGTTCTTGCTGGGGAGACTTGGTTGATCTAGCCAAAAGGTACATCTCCCCCGTAGAGATCGCTTACGAGGCAGCGAACGAACCATCAAAGTTCGGGCATCTCAGACGGGGAATCTTCTCTCAACCATATCTTCCTACTCTATGGGAGGGATTTTGTGCTATGGTTGATTTCAATATCATGGGACTGGTTGGGATTGTTCAAAGCTTGCAGGTTTTCGGTGGCTCTACATCCATAGGCCACAATCTCAGGAGGCGCATTGACATGGCTTGAGGTACAAGATACGAACTACCAAATGAGAGATTGATGAGGAGACTCTAGAGGGATGAGTGAGGACTCTTGACTAGTGCTGGCCGTGTCTATTCATTTGTACTTTCTGAGATTATTATGACTTCTCACGTTTCCTTGATCTAGTTTGCCTCTGTCTTGAGTCAGTCAGTCTTTGCTTCCCCTGTATTGATTCTGCTTGATGATGATGATGTTTTATGATGAACTTGTCACAATTCTCAAAATTAGTAAATTGGCAGAATTGATACATGCGTTGCACACCAGAATTTTATGATTATTACTTGCATGATCTTTGCTGTTCTGAATCAAAATAAAAGATTCCTAAGAGCGGGGACCGGTGAAGACCGCAATTGAAGGGTCTCGCTCGAAGCCGGACGCATACAACAGGAAGGGATTTGCTTTATTTAATTTGTTTATCTATTGCAAATGACAAGAAACAAAATTCTGCGTGACAGCCCGTTGGCTTTTCGGTAGTCAGAAGTGGCCTGACCGAAAAAAGTGCGACAGCGGGTCCATGTGCATTTGCATCAGAGCCTCCCCAGAGGGGGCCTAAGACCCTGTGGGGTACTGGTGGTTTAAGCAACCCTTCTGTTGTGAATACACTGATGGTAGGTTGGACCTTCGATTCTGCCAAAATTTCCAATCACCAATCGAGTTTCATTTCTCCGTGTTTCCAGTGGTTGAACTGTGATGACTTCACCATATTGGGTCTTAATATCAGCTTGGACGGAAGAGAGATCCAAATAGGGTATTCTAAGTACCTTAATCCAGTATCTTCCCTGCTGTGCACTTTGGCGATCCTTTTGCAGTTCTTGTGTGGTCAACCAGGGTTTGAATCTGATCTTATATTTAACCTGTTTCCGTCTCGTCAACTCTTCTCCATAAACGTTGATAAACCAATTTCTTAATTGCTCACGTGTCAGATAAGAGAGCATGGTGACCCTTTCAGGCTTGATTCGCCCATGCCTCCTCCTGTGAGTGCTTCATCCCACTTGGATTCTGTAGGAGGAAACCACTCTTCGTTTTTTTTGGAAGGTCAGACCTGTGGGGCAGTCCCCAAAGAGAATCATTACCCTATGTATTTTTTTTTGGTAAACGATGTGCAAATCTTGATATTTCTCATCCAAGTGCACTCTGTATTTTTTCTCGTTCATTTATAGAAGATTTGATGTAGTTTGTGGTCAGATCAATGTTTTCTTCTCCGGTGATAAAGCAGTTTGCTATCATATCTTTAATCGAACGCCCTTCGGCTAGAGAAAGGCGAGATCGTTGATTGTCGGCTGTAATTCAAATTGTTCTTTGTTGATGATATCTCACAATATGCTCTGACCACGTTTCAGGGAGTCCAAGTCGGTCTTGTATCCAATCTTTCCAATATAAAAAATGTTATTAGGGACGGACAAAATATGGTACAACCATACTTGCAACCGCACGAGCCGCACCCGCACAAATCGGATCCGTACGGAGATCCGTACGGGGGCTGCTCTATCTCCGCACGAGCCGCACCCGCACAGACCGGATCCTGTCTCTTATACACATCTAGATGTGTATAAGAGAGAGGTGTTACCTGGAGGGGTTATAAGACGACCTGGAGGACGACTAAGGAGAGTGGGGATGGAGGAGGAGAAGAGGTGGAGGGAGGAAAAGACCGTTCATGAGCCCCTAAAGTGCCTTGTACATCAAGCCCTAACGGCCCCGCGCATCAAACCGTAAAGGACCGTCTAGATCAGCGTTACCCCTGCGCAAGGATGACAAACACAAATTGAGAAAAGGTTGAACAACAAAACCAGGGTCCTTCGGGACATCCGACGAAATGGGAACTACACAGAGATGATTAGCATGACCCTGAGGCAAGGATGACACACGATTCGAGAAAAGGTCCAAAAAAAAAAAAAAAAAAGCTTGATAGATTGGATTATTTTCGAAATTTCGATACCTAGGTGGGAGAGGAGGAGGAGGTGGACGGCGAGGAAGGGGAGGAGGAGGACGAGTGGAAGGAGGAGGAGAAGCACGCAGATGAAGGGGAGGTGGAGCAGAGGTCGTGCTAATCTTCTCTGTGTCGTTCTCAATCTTTGGGAACGATACAGAGAAGATTAGCACGACCTCTGCGCAAGGATGACATGCACAAATGGAGAAAAGGTTGAAAAAAAAAAAAAACTCGACAGATTCGACACCTGTGGGAGAGGAGGAGGAGGAGAAGGAGGACGAGGACGAGAGATGGAGGACGATACAGAGAAGATTAGCACGACCTCTGTGCAAGAATGATACGCACAGATGGAGAAAAGGTTGGAAAAAAAAAAAAATTATCTCTCTCTCTCTCTATATAACACACACACACACACACACACACACACACACACACACACATAGACACACCTCGGTGCGTAGTATGTTCGAGCGACAGATTCATTCGATTTTGCTCATCCTATCAATCGAAGTATCGTGAAGCCAGCTGCGAGGTGCGTAGTATGTTCGAGCGAAATATTCATTCGATTTTGCTCATCCTATCAATCGAAGTATCGTGAAGCCAGCTGCGATATTGGAGACTTATCTGCTCTCTTTCTCTCTCTCTCTCTCTCTCTCTCTCTCTCTCTCTCTCTCTCTCTCTCTAACACACACACACACACACACACACACACATAGACACCTCGGTGCGTAGTATGTTCGAGCGAAAGATTCATTCGATTTTGCTCATCCTATCAATCCAAGTATCGTGAAGCCAGCTGCGAGGTGCGTAGTATGTTC